AGATTTTATGCTTTGAAAATGGTGTTCTGGGCAACTGCTGGTTCCGTGTTGTTATTTAACAGTTCATCGGCCGTTACCACTGTTGCCGGTGCCGGTGTTTTACCTTGGACAGGTTGTATTTTTGTAATCTCCTCAATTACTGGAATCGGTTCACTGAAAATACGAAGTGTTTTACTTACCACCAGATAGATGGTAGCTGTAACTGGAATTTTGCAAGAGAAAAAAAAATTGAAAAATCCGACAACTGTTTAAAGGATATAAACTGTAGAATGCTTAACACTTATATTGCTTTGTTTTTTTTATAGGTGCTCAGATGAAGGATGAACTGGAGGCGGACAGGAGAGGAGTGGAAGCGTAGGATAGGGAAAAGCAGGAAAATTTCCAGTAGAAATTAATGGAAAATGAAATTGGATGATAGTTATTGATTATGGAAAAAAATATTGGATATGTGTTTTTTTTTTCTGTTGATATATTGCTGTCGTCATTTCTGTAAAAACTTCCTCAATTTATACGACTGAAGTTATTTTTCTTTCTTTTTTTGATTATTTCTTCTTCTGTTTTTTTCTGCCTATCTGTCTATCAAGTTTTAGGATCAGATATGATAATAAATTAGACGCTGATAATGCTATAGAAGACAGTTTTTATATAGATTGAGTGAAGGGGAAGAGAGGGGGATAAGAACAGTGGGATGAATAAAAAAATCCTTACTTAATTTGCGCTGTAAGTTCATGGAGAAAAACTTTTTATGCATTGAAAAGCAGCATATGGTTTTATTACTTACTGCTATTCTCTTTTTCTTAAGGGGGGGGGAAGGAGGGGGAATTTTAGGCATAGATTTAATATCTTTAACAAATTACTGCTCCCTTTAAGAGAAAGTAGTCAAAATTGTTCGCATAAATCCAAAGATGATTGTTGATCGGAATGAATATATTTTCTAAAAAAAGCAAAAAGAACCCATTGATTTTTACTTCAAAAGCTTTTATTATAGGTAACCTAAAAAAAAATTATTTGTGAAAAGAAATGAAGATTAAAGCTAAAAACGTCAGGGAACTGTTAATGGTGTTACATGATTCTAACAAAAAATGGCGCTTGATTATGACGGGTTTGTCAGATGATTTAGTTGACCAACAAACAAGAAATAAACAGAGCAGTATCACTGAGAAAAACGTCATGCCAATCGAAGGAAAACTTTTTCCACCACAACATTCATCAAATTATAAAACAAAAATTGCTCATTTTGATGCAAAAATAAAAGAAAAGACAAAGAAATAAAAACTTTTTTTT